GAGTTTATTAAGCAAATTTTATTGTAATAGAAAATGTCAACTGCAAATCAGTCTATGAAAGAAACAAATAATGTTGGTATGTTTGTTGGTATACCTCTTTAATAAATTAATAATAATATAATTAATATAATAATAATATAATATAATATAATAACATATAATATAATCTAATAATATAATATAATAATGATATAAATATAATATAATTTTATAATAATAATATAATTAATAATAATAATAAATGACATTTTTCTATTACAATAAAATTTGCTCAATAAACTCAACAAATTCAATGAATTTAACTCAAGCAATACAAGACAGCGTCGAGTTGTCATAAATCATAAAGGTTCTAGATGGTTATGTCTATCTTATTTTTCGGTCCTAGTGAAACTAACTCGAACTTGAATTATCGTAAACACCCTATTAGCGTTTTCGAATAAACGGGGTTTGAACGATCTAGGGTTGATCAATCACTATTTTACTATAAATGCAAGTCTTTCATTGGTGGAGAGGTTGCAATGACGTCATTAACCAACCCTGGGTCGTTCAAATCCTGTATAATCGAAAACGCTATATGTCTATGGACAAGGCAGTGACTCGGTACCGGATTTCTCTTTCTATCTCGTCTATTCTCGACTAATAGTAGTTGTGAACACGTGACCGAAACTGTTGGTTAGATAGAGAGATCCGAACAGCAATCTCCATTTGACCGGTCGATAACAAAGGCGTGCTCGTTCCAGTATGGTATATATTTCAATGGTGTTAGTAGAAATCTGATGAATCTGATTGTGTTTGGTAAACAAGTGACAGTGTAATAATTAAAGTAATTAATTGGAAGATAGATAATTCAATTCTTGTGGCATTGTCGATGTGATGATGTTTAGTAATAAAAAGAACAGTTTACCTCCAAGACCCCACCTGCCAAACCATGAACACATGTTGGAAGACCTTGATAATGCTGTTGTAGATGATGTAGCTTTTAAACTCATAAGTAAATATTTGAATAATATTATATTAATTGCACATATTTTTATATTGGATTAGAATAAGTATACACTAGTCACATATATACACCAATAAACACATTATATTTCACATGCAGGTTATCCTATTAAGTCATATATCATTGCTCATTTTAAAGTTTTTCTTTACAAGAGTCATTAATATGTGGCATGAAACTCAGATTTATTTTTTTTTCTATGTAAATTTAATTTCATTGATTTGAAATAATTATGAGATAAGATTATTTTTTTTAAATATTAATAAACTTGGTCTTTGATCATTCTTATAAATATAATTTCAGATGATTTATGTATAAGAGAATCTTATGGTCTAACAAGTGTGGATAGTTCTGACGATATATATAAAAAAGTAAAAATGTATTTAAATACCAAACAACAATTGAGACAATTGGAATATACTTTGAGGAAAGGCACACAACAGATGCAGACAGATAACGAAGAAATTAAAAGGCTTGCGAATGATATTAGAAAGCAAGCACAAACTGCTCTAATAACATATTGAGGACACAAAGCTCTAGATATGTTTTAGTATTTATATTTATATCAAGGTATCATAATAATTTACCGCTTTGAACAGAAATAATATTAAAATACATACATAATTTATTCTATTATAAAAAATTTTAACCATTGTCGATCCTTAGCTGACAAATATTTTATTCATATCTCATTTTGGAACTTTTAAATAATGCTTTTATTTATATAAAACAAATTTACCAATTATTAATCAAGTAAATTATAAAATAAATTAATATATTGTAAAAATACATTTTTGAATGAATAATTTATTTATTGTAAGTGAATTTATTTGATCTGTGATTTAAAGAATATTTTGTATAAGATGTATTAACTGATCATAACATACCATGTATGCCATGTATAATAAATATTTCATGATAAAATAAACTTTGTCAATCATTTAAAAAAAATTCAGATATGTTAATTGTTTTAACATTGATATGTCAGTACTGATTGAATGATACATTATTACATATATTAAAGCATTATTTAATGCAGAACATTTAATAAAGTTGTTTCAACAAAATTTTTATGACAAGGCACTATTTAAAATTTAGTACTATGTATTACAGTAGTACAATACTATAACATTTATAATCGATCACATTTATCATTTGTGAATAATGTAATGTATATAAAGATATTCCGATCTTCTGTGCTTTCTGCGTGTAAAAACTTATGTACAAATTACTTATGATATTTTTATTTCTATATATTAAAGATATAGATGCTAGGTAATTGCTTAATTAAGAGGAACTGTTCGATAACCTCAGTTATTCAAAGAATTATCAAAAATTGCTTTATGTAGATAAGTTTGATTATATAATTTAACCATATAAAAATTGAAAACAGAACGTATATATTTTTTATAAAACTTTTTATAATTAGCCTTGTAAATTTCGTAAAATAGTATCTTTTATTTTAAATTTTCTGTAAATTCTATCTTTGAATAAAAGAAGACATCGAGTGCTGCCTATCAAATATGTAACTGTCTCTATAAATGTTATAATTATATCTTATACAATAAAAATATATTTATATAATCAACAATATACTTATACTTTAATACTGTCGTGCACAATTATTTCAGAAAATGATTTTATTATTTCTGCAAATAGTTTTTATGAGATTAAATAATCTTAATTAATAATTTAAATTAACTATGTGCATGTGTGCAATATAAAGATAATATAAAAAATAATAAAAAGAGAGAAAACCGATCAATTATCATAGTTATTTATGCTAACATTAAAATATATGGATATAAAAAATATACATATATAAAATCTGATAATAACTTTCATTTAAATGGACATTCTAACAAAATGCATTAAAAGAGAATGGAAAATTTATAATTAAAATTAACAAAGAAATATCTTGCTCCTATATATCTAACAATACATTTTGTGTTTTGATATATAAGCTCCCCTTTTCATATATAATTTAAATCTGGTAACCTATGTATAAACCAATACTGCACTACACAGTCTGTAAAGGCAGAAGCTACTTAATGGTATATACTGGGTACCATATCGAATCGATTTGCAGGTTCACTAAGGTAGGCACACCATGTGAAACCTGGCGGATATCCTGAAAAACGTAATTCATTAATGCACAATAGTAATGCAAAAACAGTACATATTTTTATAAATGATGCATACATTATATGTATTACAAGATTTTTTTTGGAAATCTTTTTTGAAATATCATTAGATGTACCTATAAAAACACAACAACTCAAACAACATGCATGTCTCTCAAAGTATAAAATAATTCCTTGACTATCAAATAAATGAAATAATAAATGCGATAGTTTCTTTGTTAAAATACACAACACAAAATTGAATATGATTATACAAAAACCAGTTACAAATTCAAAGTGCAGGTGAATTTATCCTTACTCTGAAATGTTGAATGTGCAATCAAGTTTAGTAAAACTTAAAGAAATATCATGCAATATGTATAGATAAATAATGTTCCACGTTCCAATGTGACATTAATAAAATTTTTTACCTCATTTAGCACATTGATATCATTATGATAATTATGTTATAAAATTTATTCGACGTAATACTTACATAATCTTAAAAATTGTTTTATGTGCTGATGATATGCGGATGAGGTAATATACCGAGTTTCATCATTTTCCGTCCAGCTGCATGCAAGTAATCCCTCAAGATTAGTGTGTTAGTTACATGCTGATGATTACACAAGAGTTAATAAGAATTTCATTGATTCTAGACTATTGAAGTTAATAAATTTAGTATTCAGATGCATTTTTTTCACTATTTCGCACAGAAATACACGGCGTGGTAGAGAATAGACATGTGTATATATTTTTATTCTGTAACATCTTCAACAGTCATATAAAAGTGCTTTACAATTTGTATATAAAAATCGACGGTTCTGTACAATTACAATTTTATAATGAATTCTGCAATAAGCATTCTGTAAACATAATATAAAAGTATGTTACATCTTAACTACAGCTTATAACTACGCAAATTTTAGGACGGACATAATGGATATATAAACCTCAAATATGTGTAATCTAATCAATTTAAAACCATCGATAGTGTGATGCTTACAATATATCAATACGTGTAATATAGCTTAATGAATCATCTCATTAACGATTATTATCATTCAACAATATTTTTCTCGTCATCAGCAACTTTGTGTACATATGTATAATTGCACTAAGAAAAATAAAAGAGATATGTATATAAATTTCTAAGCAAATTCCCCAATCTAAAAAAATTCCAAGACTTTTTAAAATATTAATACCAGTAAGTTGTTTTTGTCTCATGAAATATATAAAGTGTCAAAATTATCTCAATTAAGTAATATAAATAAACCCAAATAAATCTTACTTTGATAACTATTGTGTAATATACCCTGTTATCAAATCTGATTGTAGATTTGAAAGAATTATAATGCCTTACCTCATACTTATGGCAAAAGTAATAATAAAGGCTCAAAAATGCCCATCTCTTTTAACCCAGAAGTAGAAGCGAGGTAGACGCGGCGAACGGTATATCGAATATGATAGTGCCGTTCGGTGTCTAATCCTTATCCATCACACTACTATTACTATCCCCTAAAAGAGGGGAACTTCAAAATCTTAATAATAATGCCATTATTTAAGATATATTAGTCACAAATAAACAATCGCAAATTGTGCACATTTTTTTTTAAAAAAGGTAAATAATAACATAAGCTTGTTAATACTCTAAGCTGAGGAAAACAAATTTTACCTTTTAAAATGGTGAACAATTCTATTTTAATCGACATAATATATCAGACGTTTTGCTCAATGTTTCAACGTAATACGTTTCAAGATAAATTAATGGCTGAAAAATATAATCGAGACAAACTTTTCGTATTCTTAATATTTGTTAAAGTATGCTTTGGAAACAACATATAATTTGATGCGTTATTTAATGACGTGATTAAGCGTAAGTTTATGAAATCTAGAAAAAATCGATATTTTGACATCTATCGATATTGTAAAAGATATGTAGAAAAACACAAGGTAGATAAGCAAAGCTAGATAGACATGAATCACATTATGAGATCGTAAATACAAGATGTGCTGCAAGGAAAATCTCTAACATAAAATTTTTTTGTATGTTATCTGTCGAATATATTGTGGAATGTGATATGATAAGACGATAAGTCTTCATTTATAATAATTATTATGAAGAGATTTTACCTGAAAATGGCATTTTATGAACAAAAATATTGCATCATTATCTCACAATCAGTATAAATTGTACATTTTAGTAGATTTCATTGCACTTTGCAATTTTCCCGTCATTAACTGCTCTTTTCTTTTATCTTGTCTATTATAAAAGTAATTCTAACAAAATTATTAAATAATTTTAATTGTTCAATTATTTAATAATAAATTACAACAGAAGTTTCAAAAGTCCAAATAAATGATTGTTCTCATTATTACCAAAAACCAATTACCAATAATAATTAAACACCAATAACGCAAACACTCATTATGTTCATAACATTGTAATTTTAGAAACATAATTGTTGACTGAGCCATTGCATAACACATAACAACTCGACCATACAATGTTAAACCATTCGAAGTGTCAGGAACATGTAAATGTAGTTTTCAAAATGTTGCAAAAATGTTTTTCTTTTCAAAATTTCTATCATAAGGATCTACAGTGCCTTTTGAAAGAACGATATCAGTCTCTGTAAGTCAGTCATCTGGTAAAGTCTGGCATTAAAAAGAATTTGCGTAACGTCAACTTGCCTCTGGGCTTGTATTTGAGATGGTCCTCAATGAATTGACAAGGGCAACGGGCGGAGACACAATGGCGCGGTGGAACAGACAGACCCGTAATGCCTCTATCACGTTCCTGCGAGTCTATAACCAGATCAAGTCTGCGGCGCACGAAGTGACGTGCCCATCGAGACGCATACCTCAGCAACAGCAACTCCGCCCGTTCCTGTCAACACACACACGCACAACCATCATCATTCAGGTGTACCCAGGCATAAAATATAATATGTAATTTCTGTTCTTTTCTTTTTTTTTTTTGATCTTACAGATAACACACGCAGTTTTAAATCTACTCGAACTATCAAAATGTATTTTTTGTCTAGTGTAAAATCTTGAATTTGTTTCAAAGTCGAAGCACAAGCTTAGTTTAATGTATGTATTTTTGTTATATATGTGAAATGTTGCGCTACTGTGTTAATAATAACTTAGATAATATCATAAAGTATTTTCTGGTTGTTATATGAAATGCATGAAGCTCATTATCAATTCAAAATGATCTGTTCACCACTTTAGAAGTACATTTGTCTCTCACAATATCATTCATATATATATTATATATATATAGCGCTATAAAAATATATCTGATCAAAGTCAGAAGCATTAAAATGTAATTGTATAAGCATTAAAAATTTTTTAATAACAAGGAGAACCGATAAAATATTCTTCAGCATAAATAAGAGACTCAATAGAAATCTTCATTTATAACTTTAGAAAATAATAATTTCAATACCAACTTCCAAAATTTTGATTATTCCTTTGAAAAATATAATTTACTGGAATGCTGAAATAGATTGCTATGATAAAGAGATTATCATATCCATTTATATTATCTATATATCTATTTTTCTATATGGATTGCGGATTTAATCCAGATAGCATATTCAAGCTTAATGCTAAATGTGGCAATGCAGAGTTCTTGGAATATGATACAATTAAAAATGTATTTTATGTAAAAAAAAAAAAAGTTTGTATCGTGTAAATGAAATATCAGAACCACATTTAGCATCAAGTGTGGAATGTAACTACAACGATCCATGAGCTTTATTGTCGAGTATTATCAGAAATGAAAATCTCGTCGCAAGTTCGTCGACTTTAGATTTCGGTACTGTAGCCGTGCAAAAAGTTATATCTATGTTTATTCGTTGATTATCGGAAAACGATAAATGATATGAGAAATACATTTTTACGCTGTCTATGCAGCACAGAAAACTACAGCCAACAAAATTATACGAATTTTAATTTCTGAGAGTAGGAGTACTTGTCATGTACTAATTATTTATACTTTACTTCAATACTTCTTAAACAAGATATTAAGTACATTTTAAGTAGTTTCGAATTAAATGCAAATAAATGACCTTTGTAAATTTCCAAATTAATATAACAAATACAGTAACAGGAAACAATGATCAAAATATTGTAGTTACTGCATCGATATGCTTGCGTGCATATTAAAAGTTGGTTTAAAAATTCGAAGGCATAAAGTTCTTTTTGTAACGCGTAACAAATGTCTGAATATAAAATCTGTACTAACATATTTATATATTGTGCGATTTAACTATTTCTATATCAATAGAAAAATGGCCACTTCTATGAATATATAAAATTAAATATAAAAATGATTCTAAGTCCAAAATTAAAACGTAAGTTTTACAATTACAGCGAAAATTAAATCGATGGAAGTAAGTAGCAGTTTTCTTTGGAAGCTGCTCCAATTGCTCATATATCTTATACTCTGAGCGTACTGTTTATCAATATTGTGATAATAAAATTGTAAAAATCTTCATGATATTGCCATAACGAAGATAAAATAAGTACATAAGCAACAGTATAATATGCATATAAAAGATCGTATTTGATGAAAATATTAAAATGCTCGTATAGCAGTGCACAAGAGAATAAAACAACTCGAAAAAACCCCTACAACTTCAATGCGTAAGCATGCGAAACTGCACGTATATCTTTTTAAGCTGTTGCAGCTTGTTCCGAACAACATCTCAAATGCCTCTGTCTCTCAGAAAGCTACTCCATCTAGGACAAAAATCTCTGCCCTGAATGCGTGGCTTATTGCGTAACCATTCCTCTATATATTGACATGGACACAGAGCGGACGCTAAGTGACGTGGCGAAGAAGGATTTCCACCCTCCTCGTCAACTGTCCAGTCCAAGCGTCGACGTAAATAATCCTTCGCCCAACGTTGCACATAACGGCAGAATACTTGTTCGTTTTTACCCTGGTAGTTTAATGCAATGCACAATAAACGTTTAATACAACTTATCAATCGCAAGCAGAAACGTCAAGTTCCGCGCAAAAACCGAATTCAATAGGTCCGTAACATTAGAGAACTAAAGATGCGCTGATATATCGCGTGTGAGAGTTCTTTTCAGCTATATTCTGTTACATCACCAGTACTTAAAATGAAACAAAAACGTGTTTTTCGAGGAAACAATTAAAAGACCATCACACGTGACAAACATAAATAAAAAGATCTAAAAATGCCTCATTGCATATCATTGATAACGCTCTCATCATTGATAGACACTCTTCTTTAGCTCTCCAGAATTTCTCAAAATATAGTGTTTATAAATTTAATTACAAAAAAATTGAAAAAAAAAATGAGGATAATTATAATAAAAAAAAGAAAAAAAACTTTGAACATACAGAATTATAATTCAGAAATAAAAATTGAAGAAATCACACAGTTTACCTGTTTACGAGAGATTCTTGTAGTGGTGCTGCCTTGTATAACAATGTCATTGTCATCAATATCCATACGCTGTTGTAATTCTCGTTGTCGACTTAATTCGCTTGCATCATCACCACCAGCAATTATTCTACCTTCTCGTTCTTCTCGTTCTATCACTTCTTGCAATTTTTTCTATCGTAAAACAAGGCATATTAGTTTCATGCAAAATTATATAAATATACAAATAAATAAATAAATAATAATAAGGGAGGATATAACATCCCTGTATTTAAATATTTTTTGAGCATAATATATAAACATGTGCTAAGTATTAATCTTCTTAATTATCTCACTATACATTATTACAAAAAATGATCAAGTTATACAATTTTATATTATGCATTTGGAATGTTGATAATACTTACAACACAATCGGTAGTATCAAAGTATATGAAACACAGGTTTACTTTGTGACAGGAGATCTTTCCTCTGTCGTCCAACCCCAGTAATATTTTGTGCCTTAACAAGTGTTTGTTGACTTGAGCCATACATTTCTCGAGATTGTGATTGAGCTTTATTTTTATGAACATGCAGACAAATATTGCAGCTGCGTTCAGGATTAACCACATGACACCGAGTCCAAACAAAGTGAGACCAGTAACACCGGAGAACAATAGACCAAGTAGTACAACAAAAGCGGTGAATATCCAAACGACGAGAATTCTCTTATAACATATGTTATACATATTAAAGCGTACATCATTCACAAGTAGCTCCATTATGTGAACATAATCTTCCACCGTAAGCTGTAGATGAGATATATTGTATTACAATTTCATTAGAATATTCATCATTTTAATTCTTTATAAAATTATACATGAGAAAAATAATACTACAAAAATATTGCAATAAAATTCTTTTAAAAATATAATACATTTAATAAAAATATGATATAATACATACTGTTAATCCTTGTGCCATTAATTCCTCCGGCACTAATTCTGGTCTGAATTTGGCTGGAGTAATCCATGGCCACTTAGTATTTACTGGTAAGAGGGTAACAATAGTATCACCATTGGCGAAACCCTGTCTTATGTTTCCAATAGATGTACTGATAACGTTACTTGATGCATTTCTGCCATTAGATACGTCTCTTAGATCTATAGTTTTCAAAGAAGCACTCTTAGCTTCCACCGCTCTAACTTCAGACGGTAATTTAAGTTCCGGAGTTTCAGATGTAATAGAACGACTTAAACCTGATCTATCTAAATTAATCTGGACGGATTCAGTTGCTATCACAGCGCCTCGATACTCGTTAGTCTTCTTATCATTAACATCAGGTGGATCAATATTTTTATTGATCTTGTCGACTTTTACTGTAACCGACTCGGGCTTTATTACAGCGGGTGCACTATTAACTTTACTTCCTGTACCAGTAGCTTCCTTTGGACCCGTTTCATCCTCAAATTGGACCCAGTTCTTCGTCTTCATAGCAATAGAAGGATTAGCTGCCGCCGCCGCATTATCAATTGTATCTTCGGAACTCATGACTAAAAACACACAAATTAGAAATATTATTTATATAAATATAAAAGAGCAATATACTGCAAACAATAAATAATTGATAACACATATTGTTATTTAAGAATAAATTGTAATTTGAAGTACAGCCTTTTCGAGGCAATTATTTTATATTTTTAATTTAAAATTATTTTATCAGCAGCATTTATTTCAACTGATTGTGCGCATTGTACATATAAGTGATTTTATTGACAGTAGGCTGACAGTAGGGAGTGTCCGGACATGGAATTTGAGAGGTAAAGGTGTCATCATTCTCACGATGCGCGATAACAATATCGATAAAAGATCCTTATCCAAAGACAGAAAGATAAAAGTCGCGTGCGGCTTTCAAACGTACGAGGTGCAACCGCTCGAAATGCGTAAATCTCAAATGTCGAGCCATGCATAAACTCGACGTGCATACCTCGCGCGACTCGGATTTTATCGGACACGGTTTTGCAATGATCGTGCGATTGCGATCGATAAGTGGTTTCGCATATTTTCGCACATATTTGCGATATCCGACGAGAACGAAATCGAATCGGCGCGTACGTAAATACATACCTGCTATGATATGGCTTGTCTCATGCCCGTGAGACGAAAAATGTGCGCGATGAAACACGAAATCAAGGTGTACGACATAGGTGCATGGCGGAAGTTAGGTGGGACGTTAGCGGTGTAACAGCGAGGTGGGGTTGGTAGGCGCGACGTGAAACACGAATATGTTGCACACCTATGCGCGTGCACATATACGTGCATTTCACGTGGTTCGCACGCTTTCAGTTTTGTTGCGGGACATTTTTTCTCACGAAATTTTCATCAAATTAATCGCATGCCACCGCAGCATATTCGCCGCTTTACTCAAATACCTTCGCATATGATTAGGATAAATTAAAAAGGAAATTTAGAGAGAAGCGGCATGAGTCTACCTGTTTACCATCTTTGTGCACTTGCTCGTAACGTAATGTGTTCGTGTGCGCAGCTGCATTCTAATTATATTTACAACGTTATATATCAGCTGATCAGAGGCACTAAATCAACGGAGTTATTTACGCTTAATTAACAAGGTTCACTGGTTTGCAAGTGAATACATATCTACATGTTTGTTCATATCATTCGAAAATATACGTCGTTACACGCATTTCATATTTAAATTAAATATATATATTTAGATTATTATATTTATATATATATGTGTGTAATTGTTTTCATGAGAAATATATTTTCTTTTATAAATTTATACTTGATATTATAGAATTATATATTATTCGTATTTGAACTTGCTGTGTAAAAATGACAGGTGTCAAACGGTAGATGTCAGGGCTTATTTACCTTAATTGCGCTTTATATCTCCTCTTTATTTCTCAATGTTTACAACTTTAGCACTTTTTGATTTTCAATTTTAAGGCATGAATATCTTTACTTGTTTCAGAACATATTCACTTGCGCAAAATAAAAGTGTATTTGATCTTTGAAAGGAAAGAAACGCAGTGCAGCCTAAAAGTATAACCTAGTCGGTCCACTAATGATGTATTGACATGAACCTTGTTGTCAAAATGTACCGCTTAAACTTAGCACCTCGTGTATCGAGATGTATTTTATCAAATACGTCTTTTACTCGCTCAGCAGTGAATGTTCGACGCAATATCTATATTTATAAAAATACCTTCACGAAATCCTCGCGATTTTGTGCATTAGAAAAATATCGTCTTTACGATAATCACGAGTCGCAGAAAAGAAGATCGAAGATGCTTCTCGCTGTATCACTACCTACTTTGATCTTTAATTTTCTGCTCGGTATCGAGGACACCGACGAGGAACCGGAAGTCATTACGACAATCAAACGATCTGTACTATTGATACAGGTTAAGTATTGAAATATGATCTGTTATGTATACCTCTTTTTTATATATTTCTTGCTATTTTTTTTATGAATTTATTATTAGGACAGAATATATTTTTATTTAATCTCATACAGTTTCAGCAATGTTTGCTTTCCCTTTATAGAAGGGAGAATTTGAGAAAGCAGAGCGAATGTTGCACTTAGCGTTACGCCAAGCTCAAACTATACAACATTATGATGCTGTTACATATGTCTACGATGTAATGGCTAATCTTGCTTTTGACACCGAAGATTATCACAAAGCAGAGAAATTATTTGTATCAGTTTTGCAAAGACTGATGTCAAATGGAGCCTCTGAGGATGACATGAGAGTCATTCATATAAGTCTGAAGATGGCCAAAGTATTTGAACATATGAAAGAGATCAAGTAAGCAATTTGATCTGTAGCAAAATTTTATATATTTTCTGCTCTTCATAAAATACAAACATTTGATATTTTAAAGAATAATAAATAGAGAATGATATTCTCAAAGAGAGAAGAAAATGAGATTTATCAATTAAACTATTTTGCATCTCATACTTTTAATCCTTTTCTTATTACACTTATAATCTTTAAATGATCAATTTTATTTATTCAGAAAAGCAGACCAAGGTTATAAATTTTGCATGGAGCATTTACAATCCCATATCGAAAAAGATCCTGAGAATAAAGATGCTATATTACTGCAGGGTATGACTTTTGATTGGTATGCGCGAATGCTTTTATCACAGTCTAGGCATACCGAAGCTTTCAACTATTTTCTTCAGGCTTATGATATATGCAAAAAGATAAATGGCGAGGAACACGAACAGACTGTAATCCTGCTTAATGATTTGGGAACTGTCAGTTGTATGCAAGGAGAATACGATGAAGCTATCAAATACTTGTCTGCTGCAGCAAGAATAGGTAGTACTAATATGATAATTTTGATAATGATTATTTGCAATTACAAAATAAACTATATCTTATTTCTAGGAAATAATTTATCTGACATGACCGACTTGGGGTCGATTCATGTGAACTTAGGAAATGTATTTTTGAAAAAAGGCTTGTATGATGAAGCCAGAAGATCCTGTCAAGCAGGAAGAATAATAGCAAAGAATAGAAATGACAATGATTCATTGCTAGAAGCTAATGAATGTCTCAAGGAAGTAAAAAGATTATTATCATTGTAAATTTATGTACATTTAGATACATTTGTTATAAAAATGTAGATATTTATGTGAAAAAGTTGTTTATAAATATATTTAAAAAAAACATTGAAAAACTAATTATTATTACAATTTTAATGATTATGATACGTGAAGAACTGAATGCAGGGAAAAAAAAAAAATCAGTTTTTCATCAAATAAACCATTTATTATTTAATACTCAATGAATAGTGGCCACAAGAAATAGACCTGTGTTACTTCAGAACACGATTTTCTATGTTGTATGCGTGGTTTTCAATGTCATTTGTGCGTTTGTAGCATTTGCATTAGATTCCACTGTATTCTATGTCATATGAATACATTAATTAGTTTGTCATGTCATAATTTATTTCAATATTAAAAATAAGGAAGTTGCAATAAAAAAATATCAGGTAATGTTTTTACATAATAAACGATGATAACGTGGAACATATGTGCATACACACACATCCATAAAACCCAATCTTTCCATATAGCTATTCATCTCTCTGTATAAATCTTATAAGTACATCCATATTTCAGAAGCAAATCAACTGCATTGTACATCAGCCTTGCTTTCCACAACTGTATATTTTTCAGTTAAGATGTAAGATTAATTTGTGTATAATATAAATTTGTCAAATTTATTATAACTTTCCGAACATTATCGAAAGCTTTTTGCTCTCTATTAAATAACATGATAATCATTTCTGGTACATCACAAATTGTATTTACAATTTCTATTCGGCATCTTCATGAAATATTCTGATAATAAAAAATATGATAGCATTAATATACGTCTATTAATATTACAAATCTCTTTGGAAAAAAATAATGTTTTCTTACAAGACGATTTATGCGAATTTTTATTACAAACTCAAAATATGCAATAATTATATACATATACAATTAAGCTATGCTAACAGATGTACAATTTATCATTTATTATGTGCCATTCATATCGACCTGTATCACATTACTATGCTGTTATTAACAAATAACATGTGCATTGACTAATTGAACTACTTGGTACATAAAGCTATGTTTGTTTTAAAATAAATTTTAAATTAATGTACTTTAAATAAATTTATATTCAAAATGGATAAAAATGTTCATAATTTTATCCAAATACTTGATATAGCAGCAGAATTCAGCTATCACTTTTGTCTTAGGCATCCCAGATATAAAAATAAACAAATTAAATATTTCTTCCAAACAAAAGCGTGACTCACTTTAATGGTACTTAATATAAATGAATATAATGTTATTTAAGATCGACTTAATTGTATAAAATTGCAGAATTAAAAAGTGAATTAAAAAATATTTTCAGTCAAATAAGTATCCAAGAAATATAGCAACAAATATATGTATATAATTATTGCTCTAATAAAATGTATATCAAACAAATCATATTTACCTTTAGAATATATTGGTTATGAAAATAACTCTTATCATAACACTGTCTGGTGACATAAGTCTTTATAACATTTTTATATCTGGTTTTATATTTCACAAGATATTCACAAAATCACATAGCTTCTCTTTTTTAATGTAAAAATAAGGGATGGTATATAGAGGCTTACATTATTCTCTTCCTTTTTATGATGTAACATACTTATTTTTGCAATTCTATTCATTTTTTTTCTCAAACATAAATGCAGCATTCATCACAGAAGTATATAAGGATGATATTCATGTCACTGGTATTCAGGAGATATTAAGATAACATATCTTTTCAGAAGAAAACATCGTATCAAAAACAAATTTTCTGCACCACCGCTTTATGTAATGGAAATTTTTTCTCAGAACTTCAATGAGTAAAATAAACCAATCAAAAAGTTCATCCTATAGCAAATGTATTTCTTATTCATAATTTGCTATATGAACCATCATGTATACTCCAAAAAGGAGTGCAGCAATCTCCTTGAATGACTGCCAAAATTTAGTGGCCGTCAAGAGCTCTGGTATTACAGAAACAGTTGCAATGTAAATAAAACCTCCTGCTGTAAACGGAAGAATCCACTTTGTTGCAAAATCACCTAAAATTCAAAAAATAAAATTAGATGGAATATATAACTAGGGACTATATGTCTCTATTCTAATTTTTAATTATATATTTCTTACCCATTCCTTCAGCCAATAAAGAAACAAAAGTTCCGAGCAAAGCACCTACAGCAGTGACCAACTGCAACATCATAGCCTGCAAACATTGTGATTAGAATGGTGATTACAAAATTTTACAAAATTAAACTTTAAAACAAACAGCAAGAAAATAATAAAATACTATGCACAATTGCAAGTGAGTTTTAATTACTTAAAACTACACAGCACTTTACACAATTCAATTTTTGCACATGCATAGATATATATTAATTTTTACAAGTATTTACCTTTCTTTTGCTATAGCCGCTTTGTATCAAGATAGCGAAATCACCGATTTCATGCGGGATTTCATGCAACAAAATTGTGAATGTTGTAATGTATCCGATACTATTTCCAGCCATGTAACTAGCTCCTATAGCTAGACCATCCGTGAAGTTATGCAGAAAATCTGCAACCAAGTTCAAGTAGCCAGCAATCTTTATGTTGCTTACAGGTACTTCTTGCTCCTTGGAAACCATTTTACTGCTTTTCTTCTTTTCCTTCTTCTCTGATGAATCATCTTCCTTTTCTTCTTCAGTGTGATGGTCATTAGAATGACTGTGATTGCCTTTAATAATGCGCACTGCCTTCTCTACTATTAAGAATACTATTATACCTAACAGTACACACAAGCCAACTGACGTGTCATGTTGGTGATGCCCATGTTCCTCATGATGGTCATGTGAATGTGAATGTGAATGTGCCTCCGAAGACTCATGTGCATGAGGAACCAATGCATGGGGGATCAAATGAAGAAACGCATCACCCAGTAGGCCACCAGATGCAAAGCTCAGTAAGATTTTTAACAACGACTCACGTTGCTTGGTATTGTCTAGAGGTACAAAGAACAAAATGAAGAAAGGTGCAGCAGATATGATTAAGGTCGATCCGACGGCTCTTAAAATAATATCGTTATGATCTTTCTGCGAAACATTTGCTTGTGCCGAATGAGAGGGTTCATGATCGTGTTTATGGACGTGTTCATGGTCGTGATTGTGTCCGTTGTGATGCTGATGATCACTTGAATAGATCCGGTTGGCTTCTTTGGAATATTTGTAACTCGGCGATTCGTTGTCGTGATGCTCGTGAGTCTGGCAGATAGTCGGTAGATTGAGAATAATGAGCGCGACGTACGTAGTGATTACTATCTTCGAGATCCATCTATGCATGAAGATTCGTCGGTTATCTTCCGTCATCGTGGAATTTTCCGCGATTTAGCTGACACAGTCGAAATGTATTCTTCAGCTGATGTGACGTTGTCATACGTGTCTATGGAAGTACAACACGATATGTGGAAGTTTTATCAACAAAATACGTCATATAACCACGTATATCCAAACACTAACCTCATTGTCGTCTCCAGTCTCTATAAACTTGCACGCAATAGAAGTTTATTCTATATTGCTGAACTTTGGGTACTGAATCGCTTATTGCGAGCCGAGAGAGAACCACACGTCGTGTATTGCTATCCTTAGATCAATGTTCGCGATGTACACAGTGATGCGCTGTCGTGGGATTTTTTCCCGTACGGAACCTCCGTGCGCAAGCGTAAACTGACGTCACGGCTAAACGTCGGCTGCTACCACAGATGTATCTAGGGAAGCTTTCCATCAAGGCATTTATGACTGAATTCCCACTGAGTGCGTCGCGTCACGAGTCATCCAATCAAAACACATATTTTATATGTGTTGTATAATACATATTATGGCATATATGAAATGTGTGTTTTGATTGGTGACGCGTGACGCGACGCACTCAGTGGGAATTCAGCCTTATGGCTCAAACAGACCTCCAGATGTCTATACTTATAGCGTTTTCGATTATACAGGATTTGAACGACCCAGGGTTGATCAATCACTATTTTACTATAAATGCAAGTCTTTCATTGGTGGAGAGGTTGCAATGACGTCATTAACCAACCCTGGGTCGTTCAAATCCTGT